TATTACAAAATACCATCAACTAGGTCAATTACAAACAACAGAAATGTATTGCTCATAGTTCTGGAGGCTGGAAGTCAATGCCAGCCTAGCCAGGTGAGGACAGTTTTTTGGGTTGTAGACTTTTCCAACATATCCTCACACAGTGGGAGGGGCCAGGGAGTTCTATGGAGTCTCTTATAAAAGTACTCCACCTTCATGATTTAGGCACCTCTCAGTAATCCCGTCTACTAATATCATCACCTTTGGAGGTTAGGATTTCAACGTATGAATGTGAGGGTAGGATGGGAGGGTTGTGCACAAACACTGGAACCATAGCGAAGTCCTAATCTCCAGTGCTGGAGAATGTAACCTTACTTGGAAATAGATTATTAGCCGAAGTAGTTAAGATGAGGTCCTTCTGGAGTAGGTTCAGTCCCTAATTCAGTATACCTGGTGTTATTACCAAAAGAAGACATTTGGACGGACATGCACACAGGGAGATGACCGTGTGAAGTTATGCCATTGGAGTTATGCTGTCACAAGCCAAGAAACTATGAAACTAGGAGAGAATCCTGAAACAGATCCTTGCTAGTACCTTCAGAAGGAACATGATCCTTGCTGATACCTTGAACTTGAACTTCTAGTCTCCAGAATGTGAGACAATAAACTTCTGTTGTTTAAGCCACTCAATTTGTGGTACTTTGTTAAGGCAGCTCTAGCAAACTAATGTGGTGTTGTTCATGTTTTAATGTTTGTAGAATATGTAGTGATGTCACCTCTTTGATTTCTGATAGTTGTAATTTATGTCTTCTCCTTTTCTGTTCATTTGTCAGGCTACAGGTTTATTAAAATTACTGATTTCTTAAAAAAAAAAACAGTTACTGGTTTAAATGACTTTCTCTATTGTTATTTTTGTTTTTATCTTTATTATATCCCTTCTGATTTCATATGGTTTCATTTGCTCTTCTTTTTATGATTTCTTAAAATAGAAGTTCTGGTTATTGATTTTTTTTAAATATAAGCAATCAATTCTATAAATTTCCCCTTAAGCACTACATTATCTACAGTTTATCCTATAAACTTTGATATATTGAGTTTTTATTTTAATTCAATTAGAAATATTTTCTAATTTCCTGTGTCTTGTGTGACTTTCTCTTTGACCCATTAGTTATACAAGGATGTGTTATATAATTTCCAAATATTTGGGGATTTTCCAGTTATCTGATTTCTTGTTTAATTCAGTTTTGTTTCAAATTATACTTTTAATTCTTTTAAATTTGTTTTTTTTGTTCGTTTTATGGTCCAGAATATGATCTCTCTTTGTGAGTGTTAATTTACATGTGCAGTTTAAATGAGGGACTCACAATGTCTATTTATTCCTAGATCTCTCCCAGGAAAATATACGTAGGCTAGAAAAAAGGGAATTTCTTTCCTTTGTGCTCTTTATATTGTAATGCTTCTTAAGGACTAGGTATTTGACATTAAAATTTTTTTCTGATTCTGATTTCTGATTTGACACATGAAAAGATGCTCAACATCATTAATCATCAGGAAAATGCAAATCAAAACCAGAATGAGATAACACTTTACACCTGTCAGAATGGCTGGAGTCAAAAAGACAAGACATAACAACTCTTTTTTTTTTAAGATTTTATTTATTTATTCATGAAAGACAGAAAGAGAGAGACAGAGGTAGAAGCAGACTCCTCGCTGAGCAGGGAGCCCGAAGTGGGACTCGATCCCAGGACCCTGGGATCATGACCTGAGCCGAAGCCAGACGCCCGACCATCTGAGCCACCCAGGTGACTCTTAGCAAGAATGTGGAGAAAAAGACACCCACCCCAGTGTACTGTTGCTAAGAATGCAAATTGGTGCCACTGTGAAAAACAGTAGGGAGGTTCCTCAAAAAATTAAAAATAAAATTACTATAAGATCCAATAATTCCATTACTGGTATTAAACCCCCCAAATTCCAAAAACATTAATTAAAAAAGATACATGCATATTTATGTTTACTGCAGCATTATTTGCAATAGCCAAGATATGGAAGTAACCTAAGTGTCCATCAGTAGATGAATGGATGAAGAGGACGTGGTACACACACACACACATACACACACCGGAGTATTAATCAGCCATAAAATCGAATGAGATTTTGCCATTTGCAAAAACATGGATGAACCTAGAGAGTATTACGCTAAGTGAAATAAGTCAGACAAAGAAAAACACCATATGGTTTCATTCATGTGGAATTTAAGAAACAAAAGAAAGCAAAAAAAAAAAAAAAAAAAGAGAGAGAGAGAGAGAGAGACAAACAAAAAAAACCAAACTCTTAAATACAGAGAACAAGCTGGTGGTTGCCAGAGGAGAGGAATAGGAGTGGCTAGGGGGATGGGTGAAATAGATAAAGGGGATTAAGAGTACACCTACTGTGATGAGCACTGAGTGATATATAGAATGGTTGAATCATGATACTGTACTGTATGTTAAACTAACATAACACTGCATGCTAATTACATTTCAAATTTAAAAAGAAAGAAACTTGGTCTGCAAAAAAAATAGTGATTTTTTTTTTCTGATTCTGATGTAACATCACTTCTTTGATGTAATAGATGATGTCTGGGTTGTGGGGAAAGGCACGGACTCACATGAAGGGGGAAAATGCCATGGGTGATAGATCAAAATATTCTCCTGCCAACTCTTCATCCCCTACACTGAAGTGTAAGTTCTTTTAGGGTAGGGATTATGTCTCATTTTTCTTAATAAACCCAAGGAAGACAGTCAGTTACATAGTAGAGACTTGGTAAATATTTGTTGAATAAATTAAAACAGAAAAGCGAAAGCTCAGTTGACAGGGCTAGGAATGAAGGATTTATAGGGGACATAACATAAAGCATATTTTTCAGATAGACAAAGAGGAAAAGATAATGTTCAGCCAAATGCAATTGATACCTGTACAATTTCATTTTTTTAAAGGCCAAGAAATTGTTTATGCTACCAGGAGCAGAGATTTCACGTTATGGTGTTTTTATATCATTTTTATAAGTTCTAAGTGTGTAATACCTACAACACATATTTAGCAACTAACATGTTACGGGTTCCAGGGATAAAATAAATAAGCAAATGTTAACATGTTGCAATTGTTTCTCTTTCTTAAGCTTGAAATGCATATGCTCCTGGGTCAGGATAGAACCACACCCAGAACTGTGGTTGATACCATGTTCAGTCCACAGCTTGAGCGTTATAAAATTGGCACAACAGACTGATGAATATGGATGAGAGATCTGGGAAACCGAGAAACAGAGTATTTTAAAAAGTAAATCAATTTAGGTCACAGTATTGTTTTGTTACATGGCATGTACAAGGAGAAACATTTCTTCATTTCACATGGGATATAATATCCTGCAATTTTATCCTCATTTCTAAAGCCTCAGCAAACTGTAATTCACAGGCTGGCATGACTTCAGTGGGTGCCGACTTACTGAAGAAGAGATTTTTTTTAAGTTTTATTTATATTTTCTGCACCACACTGTGAAGTGCCCCTGATGCTTTGTTTCTCAGATGCAGGATTAGAGCACAGATGGGAGAAGAAAGGCATGAAATTCTATACTTTGAAACATTCAGTCAAGATTTATATTGTATCTCTTGTTACCTGGCGCCTCTGTAATACCCTTCATTGGAGAATTTCAAAGCCCACGAAGCTTCTCCGTCGTATAAATAAGTAAAATTTTATAACTATCATCTGTGAGAAGATTAATCAAACTGCAGCGTGGTGAAATTACAAGGGACAAATGAGAAGGGGGGTCCTTGTTGTTTGTTTGTTTTGTCAATAAAATCTGATGTCAACTAGATCTGACCCAGTTTAGGAAGCATAGAAGCCTTAGTTCTTTCTGTTTACTGCTTCTTGGCTCTAGTCCAGTTAGGCCATTGACAATTAAGGAAAAATACAACTTGCTTTCTCATGTGTCTTACATATGCATCCATAGTACAAAATAATCTATACCACAACCACATCAAATACTTTTATTTTTGGTTGGCTTTTTTATACTTACCATTTTGGTAAATTATAATCTAACTCTTGCAATGAACATATTCTAAAAATATAAGCCAGCAGCTATCTCCCAAGAAATAACCTTGCCAAATAGGTTATATTTTCCTTCAAACTGCAATCAGTGGTAGAACATGGGTATTTTTCCAAATATTAAAATAATATTCTTTTAAAAGTAAGGATTCTGTTATATTGAAAAAAAAAGTATCTGTGGGAAAGGAACAGGTTATGTCATAAAACATGTGAAATTTTAAGTTCTTCTATTTACATATTTTATATGAGCAGATTAAATACCTTTTGGATTACTCATATGCCAAAAAAAAATTGACAGTCAATGTCACATCTCTCAGTCAGCTTTGGTTAGGAAAACAGAAGCTATTCTGCATAAGCCAGAAATAAGTTTAATTCAGAATTAAGTGCTTAAGCTATTGTTGGAGAAACTGAGATAAGGGATATAGGGAAAGCACCACTGAAGGTCAGAGGTTGACAGTGAATATTTTATTTTATTTGTTTTTATTATTTTTTAAAGATTTTATTTATTTATTTGACAGAGAGAGACACAGCGAGAGAGGAAACACAAGCAGGGGGAGCGGGAGAGGGAGAAGCAGGCTCCCCACAAAGCAGGGAGCCCAATGTGGGGCTCGATGTGGGGCTCGATCCCAGGACTCTGGGATCATGACTTGAGCCGAAGGCAGATGCTTAATGACTGAGCCACCCAGGCACCCTGACAGTGAATATTTTAAAACCATAGTTCTCCACTGAGGGCAATTATGTCGTCCCTCTCCCCCCACCCCAGGGAACATTGGGCAATGTCTGGAAACATTTTTAATTGTCCTGACTGGTGGCAGAGAGGGTTGCTTCAGGCTTCTAATGGGTAGAGGCCAGGTGTTTTACCCATGTTGCCTTGGCAAGGCTTGGTGATGCAGATCAAGAGAGAGAAACCAGAAAGAGTTTTAAAATTTTGTTATACTCACAGTTTACACAGGAAGAATTCAGCAAGCTACAAGGGGACACCGAGGGGAGATTCCGGATTCAGTCCTGAGGTTAAGGGAGAAAACGGAGCTGTGTGCCGTGCCTTTGTTGGAAGAAGGAACAGGTGTGAAAAGGTAAGTTGGTGATGGGGTTCAGAACACACTACCCCAAAATATGACGCCTTGGCATATTGAATATCTTAAGCTGAAGGAATCTGAGAAAATGGCAGAAACAGGAAGGTCTCTTCCTCTTGCCTGAAACAGGTCATATGAGAGGTACCCTGCCAGGACCCGAAGGAAGACATTTACCAGAGATGGGGAGTTTGGAGCCAAGAAATCAGTACAAGCTTTGTTAAATTAACCCTTATCTTCCTAGTTACTATTTCACGATTTACTGCCCCCAGTCCAAACCCCTTCATCTTGTCAATTCCTTACAAATGTATTGTTTCTTTGTGTAAAAGATATAGAAGCTTCTTTCTCTGGTCACTCTTATGAAGCAAGATAAGATATAAAATAAATAAAAATATCTGGTAATGAGATGGTCTCAGGGAGAATGAGATGATCTCAGGGTATGGATGAAATCTACCAATCTTGTTAGAGAAAAACATTAATAAAACAGACCGATCTAAGCAATGCATACAGAGTTAGAATATTAAGGAGTGCCTATTTATTTATTTATTTTTTTGTAGTTTCAAGTTTTTATTTAAGTTCCAATTACTTAACATACAATGTAGTATTAGTTTCAGGTGTAGAATTTAGTGATTCATCACTTACAGTTAACACCCAGTGCTCACCACAACCAATGCCCTCCTTAATACCCATCACCCCTTTAGCCCACCCCCTATCCACATCCCCTCCGGCAACCCTCAGTTTGTTCTCTATAATTAAGAGTCTGTTTCCTGGTTTGCCTCTCTCTCTCTTTTTTCCCCTCTGTGTTCATCTGTTAAATTTCTTAAATTCCACATATGTGTGAAATCATATGGTATTGTATTTTAATACTTGATAGAAACATACGTATAATATTAATTTGGGAGAAAGCATATAAACCAATAGTTCTACTAGTGGGATTTGGAGTAAAATATTTCCTCAAATTTCGGTTCCATTGTTTGTAACTGATGGGCCTTAAGCAAGTGACAGACTCGCAAAATCAGTTTCCTTACTTGTGTAATGTAATAAGTTCTGGTAATTTCCTTGGATTGTTGTTAACATCAAGTGAAATATAGTATGGAAAGCATCCAAGTGACGTCTGGTGCAAAGCTGATGGTCAATAAATCTATTTATATCCTCCCACCCCCACCTTTGTCCTTCAATGACTACAACAATGAAATCCAATCTAATTCCTCCTGCAAGAGAGAAAGTTAACTAAGTAGAAAAAAGGTAGCAGAGCATAATAAGATTTAACGACAAGGGTGCTGGAGTTTAATAGAAGTGGAGTTTTGTCTCATCTGAAATGGAAATACTACTAATACTTACTTTGTATGAAGAGTATAAAAATTAAATGAGATAATGGAAGTAACACATAGTTTATAATATAGTATGTGCTTGATAAATCTTAGTTGGTAAAGGATCATTATAGAAGCAAAGATAACAACATTAATATTTGAATTTCCCAAGAAAGAACATAGTAAAAAATTCTCTGGAAAGGACGAATCCACTTGACAAGCTGTCTAGAAGGTTGCTAATTTATTTTAGATACAGAGTTGCTTTCCATATTGTAAAATAGAAATATGAGGTTTTATAGTTCTCAAGAATTACCCTTAATCAGAAAATGATGTTTTTTCTCTCCCTCTATCCCTCCTGTCAATGCCATCGTCTGCCCACGGTTGTTATACCTACAGAAGATGGGAAGGGTTGGAGTTCCTTATTCTCAGCCTCAAAACTGACTGCTCGGGTTGGCTTTGTGACCTCTTTGGGTAATAGAACTAGGGTGCTTCCTAGAAAATATGAAGTCAATCTGCCTATAAATCTTTCCAGATTAAAATATTTCTACTTGAGGGGCGCCTGGGTGGCTCAGTTGGTTAAGCGACTGCCTTCGGCTCAGGTCATGATCCTGGAGTCCCTGGATCGAGTCCCGCATCGGGCTCCCTGCTCGGCAGGGAGTCTGCTTTGCCCTTTGACCCTATCCCCTCTCATGTGTTCTCTCTCATTCTCTCTCTCTCAAATAAATAAATAAAATCTTTAAAAAAAAATAAAATAAAATATTTCTACTTGAGACAAAGTCTGATGGGGGTTCTCAAATTTGGACTTTCAATCCAAACTGGTTATTTAACATAAATTTAATCTCCTCATGGAAAAATTGAAGAACAGACTTGCTATGCATTTACATTAAACCCAAACAGATAATTGTGTTACTCAGGTTTGCTTCATTTTGGGCACCAATTCCTCCTTGCTAAATTTTCAGGTAAGCCAGTCTCGCTCTTCCAGACTCTTGTGTGCTATGTAGCTTTATTTCATGCCTCCTTATGTGGACTGCAGCTGGATTACAGCCTCTTTTGAATTTACTCAGTGCTCTCTTTTTTCACTAGGACTCTGCTCCTCTAAGAATAAATCACGATTACACATTTCCTTTCCCTCCAGCTGTTTTTTAGTACTCCTTTCTCTTTCTCGTGTTTTCCTGCTTTTAAAACCATTCCTTTAGTCTTTGCAACCTTGCTCTCTGACTTGGCATTCACTGTCTCCTCTGTAATTTCCCCTTTCCACAGTCTGTACCAATGTACTTTTCAGTGAGCAAGTACTCATTAAACACCTACCCCATGTCAGACACATATGTCTGCAGAGACATCTTTGCCATTCTGTGGCTTCTTTTTTAGCCAGTTCTAATAACTGTGCATCTGGCTCCTCTTTCCATCCTGCAGTTTCTTCCTGTCTATGTGGTAGGAGGACTGATTTATTCTCTGAAGCAAATTCTGTTATTTTAGAGATAAAGACACACTCAGTTTCCAAACACAATACCTTTGGCACAACCATGTCTACAGGCACTGAAATGTTATCACAATTTAGGTCTACTAGTTTCCGGTCAGCAGGTGCATTTCAAAAACGGTTACAAAAAAACAACGATTGTCATCTTCCTCTTTTTTGTAACACTCGAAGTCATTCTTGGCTAAAACATTTTGGGACATTTGTATTGTTGCAGGAAGAAGTCAAAATGCTTTAAGAGATTGCAAACTCCTTTTTTTATATTTCAGGTTTTTATTTAAATTCTAGTTAGTTAATATATAGTGTAGTATTGGTTTCAGGAGTAGAATTTAGTGATTCATCACTTACGTACAATACCCAGTGCTTATCACAAGTGCCCTCCTTAATGCCCACCACCCATTTAGACCATCTTCCCACCCACCTTCCCCCCCACCAACCCTCAGTTTGTTCTCTATAGTTAATCGGGGCGCCTGGGTGGCTCAGTCGTTCAGCGTCTGCCTTCAGCTCAGGTCATGATCCCAGGGTCCCAGGATCAAGCCCCACGTCGGGCTCCCTTCTCGACAGGAGGCCTGCCTCTCCCTCTCCCACTCCCCCTGCTTGTGTTCCTTCTCTCACTGTGTCTCTTTCTCTGTCAAATAAAATTAAAAAAAAGAGTCTCTTATGCTTTGCCTCCCTCCCTCTCTTTTTTTTCTTCCTTCCCCTATGTTCATCTGTTTTGTTTCTTAAATTCCACATATGAGTGAAATCATATGGTATTTGTCTTTCTCTGACTGATTTATTTTGCTTAGCATAGTAGACTCTCTGCAAGCTCCTTCTTGATCTGCTCTCTGACAACTTTCCAGCCTCATCTATCAAGTATTCCCCCTTTGCCTTTAATATTCAAATACTGAGTTACTCCTAAGATATGTCTCTTCTTGCTCTTCTTGTGCATTGTACTTGCTATGTATATACTTGTCACACTTTCTCACTCTTCTGACTTTGCCAGTGTTAACTCTCCTTTCATCTCTGTATGTGTATCCCTTTCTCTATGAAGCCTCCCTGAATTCTGAGTCTCATGAAACATTTGTTCATTGAATGAGTATACATTTTAACGCTGGACACGACTAATACATATTTTATTGTTTTAATACAGATATCCTAACGATCATTTCCAAATAATCTTGCTAATTTCTGAAACTGAAACCAAGTAGCACACTCCTCTCTACACTTCTCACTGAAAGATGCTACTGACATTTTGTTTCCTCCAACTGCTTCCCCATATTATCTTGCAAGTTGATCCAATATTTGACTAGTTTAAATGACAATGTTTCATCCTGGCTTGTGAGTTTTTCAGCAGCAAGGCATCTTTATTTGTTAACAATGTAGTAACCAGGATAAAACATTTTTTTAAAAGATTTTATTTATTTATTTGACAGAGAGAGACACAGCAAGAGAGGGAACACAAGCAGGGGGAGTGGGAGAGGGAGAAGCAGGCTTCCCACAGAGCGGGGAGCCCGATGCGGGGCTCGATCCCATGACCTGAGCCGAAGGCAGACGCCTAACGACTGAGCCACCCAGGCGCCCCTAGGATAAAACATTTTGTTTTATTGCATTTTTTTTTTTAAAGATTTTATTTATTTATTTGAGAGAGAGGGAATGAGAGACAGAGAGCATGAGAGGGAGGAGGGTCAGAGGGAGAAGCAGACTCCCCGCCGAGCAGGGAGCCCGATGCGGGACTCGATCCCGGGACTCCAGGATCATGACCTGAGCCGAAGGCAGTCGCTTAACCAACTGAGCCACCCAGGCGCCCGTTTTATTGCATTTTAATAGAGATCAGTGCTGGTTTATTTTTGCATTGTTACTAGAGTTGCTGACACTAAGATAATCAGGGCATTTAATTGCTGATATTAACCATGCAACTAACATTTCCATTTAGCCTAGGACTGAATAGAAAAAATAGACAAGACAATTTATTTATTAGAAATTAATGAAGAATGAGAAATGGTGGCTAATTGAATCAGTATTATTATCATCAACCACACCTTATTTATTAGCTCTTTGATGTATGAGGTCAGTTAAGGTATACCCATAAGTGGTTGCCTGTAGGACCTCTTCTGACGTGTTAAATGTCCTCATAAGGCAGGGCTTATTTCCTCTATTATTTTTCTAATTGCTAATTTTCTAATTCATTTTTAATTAAAG